GGCGCAGCTATTGAAAACTCACCGCAAGCATGTGCGAGTGCCCGGGCTCGGCCTGGCCCGGCCACCTGGAGAGCCCCGAGCGCCTCCCACACGCACGGCTCCGTGCCCGGGGGCGCCCGCCGCAGGTCCCCCGAGGTGCCCGTCTCACCCGCGCCCGCCCCCGCACAGGGGCAGCCATCGCCTGGCAGCTAGTGGGACACACGAAGCACGAGGAAAAATGAGCCCAGCTCTTGGCATTGGCACGGGCGGCTCCGCTGGGCAGCACTCCTCTCCTCCCCTCGGGGCTCCGCTTCCCGTCGGGGCAGCAAAGGAGCCCCACGAGCAGGGCTGAAGAGGCCGTCAGGGCTCCGCTCTGCCCTGCGCGGCTCCGCGGGACCCTGGCAAAGGGCGGGGGCTGCGGGGCTCTCCCGGCCGGGCCCGGCGCCCGGGAGAAGCAAGGGGCAAGCCCGAGGGGACCTGCCCGGCTCCTCCCGCCTTCAGAGCCCAGGGTGACAGTCAGGGACCGAGGGCTCGTTTTTTGCTTTGAAGCCGCAAACGCCCGTCGGGGGGTTTCTGCCGTGGCTGAAGGGAAACGAGAAGAAGACCCTGTAAGAAGCACTGCTAGCACATGCACGGGGGTGCAATCGCCTCCGGCATGTCTCCCCGGGTGCTTCCGTTCAGCGCCGCGGCGGGCTGGGATCAAGACCCGCCCTGAAGGGCCAGAAACGGGCTCTGGGAATCCCGTCGGACCATGCGGACACGGGCAAGGCCGGGAAAGACCCGACCCGAGACGGCGCCCACGGCAACACCGTGCGGGGCCCGGGTCCGCCAGCGCCGCCTCGGACCCGGGCGACGTCTGACCCCGTCCTGAGCCAGGCGATGGGTCGGGCCCTTTCTAAAGACTCTTGTGAAAATAAGGCAGCTGGGAAATGTCCCCGCTTCCGAGCCTCGGCCCAGCTTTGTCTGACACGACTCCCTTCCGTGGGACCCTGCTCACGGCCGGCGCGAGAGCTTTGGGCTCTTCCTTTAGGCAACACACCCCCCCCGCAAACTCCCAGGCAGCGCTCGTGCCCCGCGCTCGGCTCTGGGGGTTGTTTTTTGTCATGAAGGGATGAGTCACTTTTCCCCAAACCACAACACACACGCGAGTGACTCTAGGAGCGATCCGCGGAGCGGGGCTGGAAGCGCTGTTTAAGTCTGCAAAGGAAAAGCCGGGGGAGCCGCTGGGGGCCGGGCCA